AAATTCATTATACAAATGTGGCTACGGACATTCGTAAATAATTCCTTATTTCTATTCGCTCTCTTCTTTAGAGCGTTCCCTTTCGGAGCGTCTAGATTTCTTCTTACGGCGACTTGGACTTCTGGACCTAGATTTGTGTCTACGAGATCGCGACCTCGATCGATGTCGATGTCTAAAAAAAAAAAACAAAAACATAAAATTCCGTTATTGAGGTGTTAACATTGTTTGAGATTTTAATTTTGTAGCGCTTTATTACCGATCTTTGTGTCGATATTGAGAACGAGATCTATCGCGATCTCTTTCCTCGTCCCGCGACATCGAATCTCTTTCCCTGTCTCGTTCTCTAATCATGGAATCTTTTTCTCTTTCGCGATCGCGATCTCTGTCCTTATCCCTTTCTCTATCTCTTCCCATCGAATCCAATTCTCTGTCGCGATCTCTCTCCCTTTCCCGATCTCTTTCGCGATCTCGAGAATCTCTGGATGGTATTATGGGAGGAATATTTGTAGGAGGTACCATGGTTGGTATTGTTTTTGGGCCAGTATCCTTATCGTCTTCTCCTTCTGTCATTGGAATAGCTAAATTTGTCGGTTGCCACGTCTAAAGAAAAAGAAATGATCAAAATTTTTTTTGAAAAATAAATAACTATTTATAGCTAGTAATACGTAACGGAAAGATCAGATTGGCAAGATAAATAATAAGATTGTGTAATATATACCGGATCATTGCCCCATTGGTTATCCTGTGTAGGTTCATAGCTTTGATAATATGGATCTGTTTCTGGCATATAAAAAGGAGCGGGTTCTCCTGGATATCCAGGAGGAGGCATATCAAATGCAGGAGGCATTCCTGCTCCTGGAGGTGGTACACTCATATCTGGAAAACCTGGTTTTCTAGAATACTCTCTCCTGTCTGCAGTCATTACTTGTATCACATTCCCTTTCGGCGGAGATTTATCAAGGTTTCTTCTAGAAGCCAAGCCTGAACTACCAATTACATCTATTGTCCCTGCCATTTTTCTTCCTGGTGGTGGTCCTGCTCTTTTTGGTCCCATTATACCGGAATATTTGCTGTTATCGTTAGTAATTGCAACTTGAGGTACTCTCATGCTACCTGCATTACCACCGCCACCACCTGCATTCAATATTAAACCTACTCCAGATTCATTTCTCATTCTTTTCTGCCTTTCGCAATAAGCTCTCCAAGTTTCTTCATTAAATCCATAATTAAAGTAATCGGTAATATCTGCACCAGGCTGCCTCCAAGGTTTGTCTTCTAATTGGTCTAAATTGAACTCATGAGCAGGCATTCCATTGATAACACCTATAGTTTCAAATTCATCTATACTAAATTTTCCTGGCTGCTTGTTCAATTTGTCTGGTACACCTGACGCATTTGTCAACAATCCTCCTCTTTTGATATTGAGGCTGCCATACGCAGGGGTCGATTTAATATCGCCAATGACAACATGCACGTCGTCATCGGAATCTGAGTCACTAGCAGCCTCGCCATCTTCCTGACTGGAAGCTTCTCTCACACCATTTTTATTTATCTCTGTATTGCTTTCATTCTGAGCATTATTGGCTTGAGGAGAGCCTTCTTCCTGTGGCTCTCTTTCCTCAGGTGCCTGTAGAAATAAATCGTTTCATTTTGTTAGAACGTTTACATATCAGTTAGGTTATGTTGGATGCGTTATAACGCATTCAATGTGATAAAATATCTTTAACTAATATTTTTAAGTATCGCAGACAGAAACAATGTGAAAAGGACATTTCGCGCGTTGTTATAATATTATTTTTATTCACTTTTTTTTTATTTCAACGAAATCTCACAACCGGACAAACAGGAAAAGCGTACCTCTGTCGGTGGGTCAGGAGTATTTTCTGTTTTTTGATCTTCCAAAGTTTCTGACTTCTCTTGTATTGTTGTGGAAATTGAATCATTTTCTTGGTTTTCTGGTTGAATGGACGTCGGCGTAAACTCCTTTCCATCGGTCGAGTCACCATATAACCACTGATCCTCGTTTTCATCCGCCATTTTTCCTCTCCTCTAACTTGACAACTAAGAAACCATACAATTTGAATTCTCGTAAACATGTGAACGATCGAAGCACGAATATTTTCTCTTGCAAATTTGCGGCATGATAGCTAATCACATCTCAAAGCATTCAACATTCGATATTTGTTAATCTAAATTAATTTGAAGGACTCAATTCATTGTGTTTAATCATGCACGGGAATAAAAATTTGATAACTCGCATATTGATTGTTATAAAAGTCGTACGAAACATTTTCAGAATAGTATAAATGTATCATCGACAAAAATTGAATCATCCACTATGAACAGAATAAATCTGATATTAAGCATGCATCTAGGATAGAACTAAGCATGCACCTTGTTAGAACTAATTTATATTGTTGTACTTTGCTTATCGCACGCTGTTGCCCTCTTTGTCTACCGCGCGAATATGTCTATCTTTGTCGCACACTATCGCTCTCCTTGTCTACCACGCGAATATATCTGTCCTTCGCGCACGCTGGTGCTCTCCTTGTCTACCGCGACTATATGTCTGTCCTTGTCGCACGGTATTGCGTTCCTTGTCTGGCACGTAAAATATAACTATCTTTGTCGCACAGTATTGTGATCCTTGTCTACGAGCAGAGTGCTGCCATCTATCGGATTTTTCATTTTTCTGATTTTAGTTCCACTTCAAATTGAGAGGTACTTAGATGGCAGTACCATCCATAGACAAGGAAAGCAATAGTGAGCGACAAGGACATCCTTCGATCTATTGGAAAAAAATCCAACTTTTTACACACGTTTTTCTAGGATAAAACACATATACAAAGAAAGCAAGGAGTCTAATTTTAAGGAGGCATATAAAAAAGTTGGCAAATTATTCCTCTTAATTAGGTTTTCCTCGTAATTAGTGCGAACTGTCACAAAATGGACGTGGTGGCGCCATCTAGCGGTAACTCAGCGGTACTACTTATTTATAAAAATACTTATTTTTGCATTTTACGGCTCAAATGAGGTATGAAAAGAAAGCTAAGGGACTAATTAGGATAATACAATCACAAAAGTTTACAATTTATTTCGCCAAATGAGATTTTTTAGCAAATGAAAATTTCTCTGTTTTACGGGGTAAGAAACACTAGCGCCGCGTTGTGGCAGACCGGTGGAACTAAATACTCTTTAACTATATAAGGGGAATAATTAATTTTAATGTTTCACGCCACAAATTTGCACTCCACGAGCATATATTTCAATGATAATGCTATCAGTTACGTTCGCAAATAAATCTGAATCTAATATTCACTACAGTTTGCGCGAAATTATGCACTACCATTATTGGCACTACTGCTAACGTAAACGAAATTGATACGTTCTTCATATACGTAAACGATACTTAAACAATACATAAGAGGCAAGCTTGGAGTCTCTAAAATCGAAAACACAACCATAATAGATTACAAATGATTCCTCTTAATTAATTTCTTGTCGTAATTTGAGGAAATACTGTCTCCTGTCAGTTTGGAGGCAATGGTGGCGCCATCTATTGACAACTCGGTGGTACTAAAAATAGGAAATTCTGTTTTTAGTACTATCAAATTATCAATAGATGGCGCCACCATTGTCTCTAAACTGACAGGAGACAGTTTTTCCACAAATTACGACAAGAAATTAATTAAGAGGAATCATTTGTGAACTATTATGGTTGTGTGTTCGATTTTAGAGACTCCAAGCTTGCCTCTTATGTATTGTTTAAGTATCGTTTACGTATATGAAGAACGTATGAATTTCGTTTACGTTAGCAGTAGTGTCAATAATGGTAGTGCATAGTTTCGCGCAAACTATAGTAAATATTAAATTCAGATTTATTTGCGAACGTAACTAATAGCATTATCTTTAAAATGTGTGCTCGTGGAGTGCGAATTAGTAGCGTGAAAAATTAAAATTAATTATTCCCCTCATATTATAGAGCGTTTAGTTCCACCGGTCTGCCACAACGCGGCGCTAGTGTTTCTTACCCCGTAAAACAGAGAAATTTTCATTTGCGAAAAAACCTAATTTAGCGAAATTAATTGTGAACTTTGGTGATTGTATTACCCTAATTAGACCCTTAGCTTTTTTTTCATACCCCATTTGACCCTTAGAATGCAGAAATAAGTATTTTTATAAATAATTAGTACCATTGAGTTACCGCTAGATGGCGCCACCATGTCCATTTTGTGACAGTTCGCACTAATTACGAGGAAAACCTAATTATGAGAAATAATTTGCGAACTTTTTTATATGCCTCCTTAAAATTAGACTCCTTGCTTTCTTTCTATGTGTGTTTTATCCCAGAAAAACGTGTGTGTAAAAAGTTGGATTTTTTTTCTAATAGATCGAAGGATGTCCTTGTCGCTCACTATTGCTTTCCTTGTCCAGCGTCATTAGACAAGGAGTGCTCTAGCGTGCAACAAGGACAGACATATAGTCGCGGTAACAAGGAGAGCAGCAGTGTGCGACAAGGACAGACATATAAGTGTGGTAAACAAGGAGGGCAATAGTGTGCGACAAGAACAGTACATGTGGTTCGTCCGACAAGGAGCGATAAGGATAGTTATGTATGATGCATTAGACAAGGACCTCAATATTATACGACAAGGATAGTTCTATGTTGCGCGCTAGACAAGGAGCGCAATAGTGTGCGATATAGATAGAGAGAGTGATTAGTTTTCACCATTTCACCGCTACGTGGTGATAGTGTTTCGTAGGCCATGAATTGATCAAATTTTCATTTTCAGAAAAAACTAATTTCTAACGTTCATAATTGAATCCCTCTAATTAAACTATGAGTTTTCTTCTTGCATTCAACTTTTTTATTGAGCTGCATGTAAAAAATGCAAATTTTGTCTAATAGATGTATTTTTGTGAATAATATTAATTTATCGTAAAGTATAACTTATGATTAAAATTTGTAGGCATGTCTCATTTGAAAAATTATTAAAAAATTATTATTGGTTTTACTTAAATCGTTATTCTAATTATGATATAATTTAAACCATAACGTGTGACGTGAGAAAACGTCGTATGTCGAGTCTATTCTATCCTTAGTCGATGATTAAATAATTTGATTTGTAGAATATAGTGATTTAATATAGCTACAATTGTTTTGTTACCAAATTGTGGTTAAGATGGGTGCGGATAAGAATGCAGAAAATCTTGTAAGTTTAATTACATAATATTAATGAATAAAAGTTTCACAAAATATACATTTAGATATGTTATCAGTTTTAAACATGCATCTATGCGTATTTCAGTTATAGTGCACGCTGGAATACGCCACGTATGGCATTTTTATGGATATATTAAGATCGTAATTAATTTCAGCTTTCTATTGTTTATTAATGCGAATTGCCTAGTGTAATATTATGTATTATCTACAAATGTTATTAGGTTATATTTTATACATATTTAAAATACGTTCGTGTGTGCCGGTGTAAAGCATGAAACGCAACAATAACGTGTATAACAATTTTATCTATATATTAATTAAACAGTCAACAACTTTCTTTCCTAATGAGTTATTTACTGTTTCAGGTAATAAAAATCAACAAATGGGACGGATCTGCGGTGAAGAATGCATTAGATGATGCAGTTAAAGACGTACTTACAAAAAAATATAATTACATAGAAAATTTTGCTCTACTCGATGGAAGATTGGCTCTCTGCGGTATTGCTGTAATAATTGCAATTGTTGCTCTTCTCTGTGATTATTTATATCCTTTCCCTGCGTCAAAACCTGTATTAGTTGCTTGTGTTTCATTATATTTTTTTTTAATGGGACTTTTGACTTTGTATACAACATACAAAGAAAAAGGTATATTTGTTGTAGCCATTCAAAGGTAAAGTTAAATCTGTTATTTAACGTTTTCTAATTTTTTTGAATAAATTTTAGATTGTCGTATTTTATATATTTCAGAGATCCTGCAGGCTTCAATCCTGATCTAATTTGGGAAGCAAGCTCATATTTAAAAAGACACGATGACAAATATAATCTTGTATTGTCTGTTAGAAGTACAGCCACAGGAAATGTGAATGAAACTAGTGTTACAAAATCTGTTGCAAATTTTATTGATGTCAATGGTGTTGTCATACCAGAATTAGTAGAGAATGTTGTGACAAACATGCATGATGGCTTAACTAATCAACGTAAAGAAAAGTAGCAGGAGCTCAATTAATTGTCTGTACGAACACAATTTTTTTTCGTAGTTCTCGGAACAATATTCTTTCTATTTCATATATTTCATATTACTGTAAATCTATTTCAAGAATAAAAGTCAAGGATAATTTTAAAATGACGTATGTATTATAATTCATGTTTAAATACAATAGAAAAACAAATATAAACTTTTACATAGCTTGTTAATAGAATAAAAATTTTCTGTATCCACTTATATTACTAGTGAATTATTTACATAGTTACGTCATGCTCTATTTGATAATTTCATTTTTAATATCACAGTTGAAATTAAACAAATGGTAGCCATTGGAATATGGTATGCATATCTTTAACAATCAAGAAATAAGAAAACAAAGTGACAAATGTTTAGAATATATAAATAATATGCCACGAGTTATTAATGAAAAATAGAGATGATTATTCATTGATCCCTAAACAGGTACAACATAAAATGTGCTGTTTTCGTTGATAATCGAAATGTTTTTCGTTTAATGTGGTAAACGTACACTTTTAGAAAAATTGTAAAAATTATCAACAGACACAATACAATTTAGCTAATTTATATCTTATATAAATCTTTTTCTTGAAAAAAAAATAAGTTTCCGGATCGATGATATAATTTATAAAGTAGTTTACACTATTAACCATGTGTTGTATCATCTTCTACAAAATCAGCTGCTTCTTCTCGTGTTACACATACTACATGAGAAACTTTGTTTCTAAACTTGACACCATAAAATTTGTTTGCATGTTGCAGTAGTTCTGGTCTGTAAAACAATTAATTACATATGTGATTACATAAGAAATTATATATTATTGTTAGAGTATTTATAATATTTAAAAAATACTAGAAAGTTACCGGAAAGTTGTTGTGATAAATTGTGCATCGGAACTAAGTTCATGAATCATATCCGCTACAGCTTTCCTATGTTGCGCATCTAAAGCTTGATCAATTTCATCAAATAAATAAAACGGTGCTGGGTCACACTTTTGAATTGCAAATATTAATGCTAATGCCACAAGTGATTTTTGTCCTCCAGATAATTGATTCATTTCTCTCATTTCAGCTCTATGACCAGTAAAAGAAACTCGTATACCTGTATGAAAAAATATTTCCGAATGATTTATTTATTTTTTGTTTATTAATGAAAAAAAGAAATTTGCAAATTATCTCACCAACGCCGATAAATCTATCAGAATCAGCTGCTTCTGTTGTCGTATCATCTCCTTCGTCTCCATCTGCAGTTTTCATAACCAATTGAGCATGACCTGATGGTACAAGTTTTTTGAATACTTCACTAAAATATTTGCTTACCTAAATACAGAAAGAATAAATTAAATATTTCACTTCTAGCAGTTAATCAGAAGTAAGTATAGAATAAAATTACATTACATACTTGTTTAAATGTAAATTGAATTGCTTCGCATTTACGTTGTTCAAGTACTGACATCAACTCTTTAATTTTTTCGTCACCTCTGTCTAATTCTTCTTTTCTTTTTACCAATTTCTCTTTTTGATCACTAAATGACATGAACTGATCTAATGCTTTCTTATTTACATGACTAAAATAAAAAGTAATAATACTAATTTTTGTTAAGTATAAAAGACTTTTATATTTCTGCATGTATTATTCCATTATGTACCTGTATTTCTTTAAGTGATTATTTGCTTTCTCCATTTCTTTAAACAACTGTTTGGTAGACATAGCACTAAATTTAGAATATACTTCATGACTAGGTAGTGCACCGAGCTCTGTAATTTTTTGTGTGCATTCTACTATTTTCTGCTGCAAAATATTCAATTTGCTGGCTAGTTTTTCTAAGTCTTTAGCATCTGCTTCTATTTTTTCTTGTGCTTCTTTCTCCTTGATTTTCCACTTTTCAACTTCCGCTGACTCTGCTTTTTGCTATAAAATACTTTATATGTAATATGTACTAAATTTAATACAGATAAATGATAATTTACCTTTTTTATAGCATTAGTCACCCTTTCATTCTGAGCTTTAAAGTCTGCATTTACTCTTACTAATCTTTTTTCAATATCTGCTAGTTGTGCATTTGATGAATCTAATTGACGTTGTCGATCTTCTACCGATATTTCTTGTAAAGCCTGAATCAATTCATCTCTTCTTCTGACCAAATTATTAGTCAACAAATTCTCCAATTTATTTTTTTCAGCTTCTAATCGCATTCGCTTAGCAAATGCTTCTTTGTTATCTTTTGTTAATCGTCTTATGTCGTCATTTAACGTATCAACTTGACGTTGATCAGCAACAGACAGTTGTGCCATAAGTTCTTGATGTAATTCACTTTCTAAGCCTTCTTTTGTTGCACGCATTGCTTCTAAGCTCGATGTACACTGTGCTAGACTTCTTTCTTTCGGTGTGCGGTACCGTTCTATTGCGTTCAGTTCTTCCTTCATAAGTCGTATTTCTGCTTTCATTTTATCGTACACATCTCTACAAAAATAAGAAAATTGTCCGAAATGTTGGATTTTTTATCGCTATGTTTTATGTTTAATTATTTTAATTTTTCGGTAACTTACTTAGCTTTGCTATTTTTAGTTTCTGTTCTTTGCATTTCGCTAACATAAGAACTGATATTTTGGTCTGCTTTTCTGATTTCTTCTTTAAGAGTGGAAAATTGAGATTCGAGAGATGAAATTTGAGCTATTAACTCTGATCTAGTTTTCTGTATTTCTAATCGAGATCTTAGTGTATTAAAGTAGCCGCCTGTTAATGATCCTTTTGAAGATACTTGATCACCTTCAAGAGTTACACAATCTAAACCTGAAGTACGAGCCAGATTTGTTGCGGCTTCTAAATTGCGACAAATTAGTGTTTTTCCAAATATATACCTGCATTTAAAAATAAATATAAAAATGTTTTTACTTTCATTGTTTTTTAAATTTAAATATATTACTAAAAAATTTTATTATTGCGTACCTCAAAGCTTTGTCATATTTTTGATCGTAATTTAATTGTGATATCATAGGTATAGCATCACTAGTTTCTGGATAATCTATGTCTTTTACGTGAAGTCGATTTAATGGCATAAATGTTACTTCTCCCGGAAGACGCTGATTATTCATTTCTTTCAAAATTTTTGTTCCAAATTTATCAGTTTCCACAATATGATGAAACAATCGATTTCCTGCAGTTACCTCTACAGCCATATAAACACTCTTGTCGCAACTAAAATTCTCAATCACAGGCCCATAATAACTACCCACCTCATGAGCCATATCTTTACGTGTACTGAGAAAGGAACATATGTTAATGAGAATTATATTTTTAAATCATTTAAATAATATTTACCGAAATGTATCTAACACTTTTCGCACGCTGTCTCGACCATTTAGAATAGGTTTTCCTGCCATGGATCGTAAGCTTTGATCTGCTTTTGCCAGATCTTCTTTTAGTCCAGATAAATTTAGTTGTAATACACTCTCTTGTCGATATCTACAATACAAATCTTTATCTTAGATTTTGTTAAAGTTCTTTAACTATAAAAAAAAAACTATATAACAAACGAACTGTTCTTTTCGTGTAGCTTGACATTGATCCTTTGCTTTGGTAAGTTCATAATATTGTTTATTGTGTTCATCTATTGAAGTTCGTTGTTGTTCCATTTCACGCGTGTGTTCTTCGATCTTCTTTTCTAAAGTATCTTGTTTTTCTGCATCTCGTTTCAAGTCCTCGCTAATTTTTCTTTGATGTTCTTCTTTATCTTTAATTTGTTTGGTAAGTTGTTTAAGTTCATTTTGTATCCATTTATCTCTTTCATCCTAACACGAAAAACAAGAAATTATTAAAATATTTTTCTCTATATTTCATCTTCCATATACAAGTCATATTGAATACCCTGCTAGTAAATTGACTGCCACGTCCTTGTTTGGCATACAATTCTTTTCGTTTTTGCTCTTTCAATTGCAATTCACGTGTACATTCTTCCTCAGTACGTTTCATTTCTTCATACTAAAATAAAATTATTAATGAAATTGCTATCACGGACATAAATAAGTTGTAACTTACGTCTGGTTTTAGTCGTTCCAATTCTGCTGCCTTTACTGCAATATTACCTTCCAATTTTTCTAATTCTTGTTGAGCACGTTTTCGACTATCATTATCTCCTTTTACTTCTTCTAATAAATCGTTAATAGTTAATGTTAATTTAGTTTTCTCTTTTAATAACTGTTGTTGTTCAGCACTGAAAATTTTATCTTTGTTTTATCACTAATACAAATGATTGTTACAAATTAGTCTCACAGAATTATATAACTGTTACCTTAGCGTATCGCGTTCTTCTTTTGCAGTTTGTACTTCTTTCTTTGCTTCTTTAAGGCGTTTTGTCGCTGCTCTCACCATTTCTTGTGCTGTTTTTGCTTCTGCACATAATCTGGCTTGTTCAGCCCCGCTATTAGCTCTAGATTTTTCCAGTTCTTCCAACTTTCTTTTATTTTCTTTGAGCTCTCTTTCATGAATTGTATATTCTAAACATCGACGTTGTTTATCCCAACATTGATATTCTTTAAGTTCTTCTTTTTCCTCTTCCAATGTTTTTAAACGTTCCTCTACAATTGTGAAATTGTAAATTACTAATTATTCTTCAAAACATCATAAACTTAAACAATGAGTTACCTATAGTTCTTAAAAAATCTTGAATTTTTTCTAGTTTCCCTTCAGTTTCTTTTAAAATAAATTTTGATTCCTCTCTCCTGTCATCATATACTCTAGTACCAGCTACTTCCCTTAATAATTTAAGTCTTTGAGAATCAGGTGCTGTTGCCATTTGATTGATCTATAACAATACAACATATTTTTTCTGCTCTTATAAATAAGTACATCATAAAATATACCTTTCCCTGTTTTACAATATAGTATGGATTTGATCGTGAAAATCCTGCTGATTCTAACAAATTCATTACATCATTTCTTGTTACTATTCTTTTATTGAGGAAGTACTGATCCTTCTTTGAACCAATTACCCTTCTTAAATATACTTCTTCTTTATCAATCTACAAGAACAAATAATGGCAGAAAATTAATAATTCAATAAAAATACGAAATTGTATAATAATAAATTTTACATACTGGTAATCTTCCATCAGAATTATCAAATATAATTTCCACATGTGCAGAAATAACTCTTGGTCCTGTGCCTTCATGTAATAATGCTTGTCTCTGTTCAGGTCTGAGATGAGAAAATTCATCGCTCAAAACAAACTGGATTGCATAAAAAAAGTTGCTCTTGCCAGAACCATTTCTTCCAACTTGACACAAAGAAAAACCATTTGTAAATTTGATTAAAAAATCTATTACATTCCATTAAAATGAAGTAAATATACATACCTACTACATTATGCCTTGGATCAAAGGGCTCTACTACTGTTTGTTCACGATATGACTTAAAACCCTGTATGATTACCTGATCACAGAAAAATTCATTATGTATAAAATATAATTATTTTCTTGTGACATTTTATTTTTTCGACTGATACGTTTTAAGATAGCAAATAAAAACATTCCTGCAAAAATTAGTGTCATCGTATATTTCTAATCACTTATGTATATATTTATATGTGTGATAACATTTTTTTCGAGATATGTGTCTAACCATGAAATCGTAAGATTCTGTTCGCATCAAATGTAAAAAAATAGAAAAATCATGCATAAAATAATGTTTGTGTATCAACATTAAATGATAGTAGCCATACTTTCTTCGAATCAAGAGCGTCTATCAAAAGGAAGTTGCAGGTACCGCGCAAAAAGAGACAGAAACTTAGAAAATATTCTAATTCTTTTTTAATACCTGTTTAATATACATAGTGAGATTGAAATTCACACGAGTGTTTCTCGTGTTAACACCCCACAACAGCACAGAAGTCAAAAGTCGTTTCTCTGTCACTGAATGGAACAAAAACTTTCAACCGACTTGTTGGCACAGCGACATTTGTAAAATAATCTGCAAGGCGACGACGTAATAAAGTTCCTAGATTTGGGCGGGAGACACATTTTCATGACCACTACTTAGGCAAAAAAACACTATTTCTTAATTTTATTCATATTTAAATTTGGGATCTTTCAAGGTTATGTTTCATTTTTTTATTATGAAAATGAACGGTTACAGAAATAATATTATAATACGAGTCATATTAATGATAATTTTAATTTTTATAAGAGTATAAAGAAAGAATCCTAAAATATTTAAATGTCTATAGCAATATATTTAATTTAATGATGAATACTCAGAGCATCACTTTGAACTTCATGACTCAATTGTGTTTGTAAATTCGATAATTTATTTTTCAATGCTGCAATGCCCATTATGACAATATTCTCAGGCTTTAGAGCTCCACTACTTTCCACATTGAAGTAGTATTTATTTGGTTTAGCTTCCCAATTGAATGGTGCTTCATCTGGAACATTTTACAATTAACTCAATATGTAATCAATACTCATAATAAAACAATGCTTACATTGATCTTCTTCCAATTCACTGTATTCTGATTTTGGCCATTCATCAGGTTTCGGAAACAATGTGTGTCTCATAGCGTTATCTGGATCATATTCAAAACTCACACCAGCAGTGGGATTCCATTTTGCATGTTCTTTTCCAAAACCTTTTTTTGCATATGCTCTTAACTTCAATTCTTGTCCTTTTCTCAATTTCACTATCAATATTTCTGCATAAAAGTATGTCAATTCATATCATGTACCACATTATGAGAATAATGGATATATCATATAAAAAAATAATATGAACCATCTGTTTCTCCATATTCGCTAGCATCATCTTCTCTGTGTCTAGATGTAACTGGAAGTACTCTTTGATCACTGGATTTGAAATCTTTAGTAGTCACATGTCGAGTTTGATCTTCTGTACACTTTACATCAAGCGTGAATTCGACGCTGCATTCTGGGCAGAAATCCATGCACTGACAGTCTCTTGTATATTGTATCCTATCAATAACCTAAAGAATTTTAATATCATATTTAATATTTTAATACCTCTATTTTTATTAAAAAATCTCGAATATATTAGACGATTAATTTTCAATTATTTACTTCATCACTTATTAATGGTATCATTCCGATCCTATGTGCTAAAAATTCATCACTTAACACGGTTGAATTAGCTTCCAATTGTATCCAATCGATAGCCATAGTAGGTGTCTCAGCAATAAAGACGCGTCTCATACTGTTTGCTACACTGTAGGAAATTAAAAATTTATTTAAAATGGAGAAAAACAGATTAAACGGTCTCTGATATAACCTTACCTTAGTTCTGTGTCTTCTACTTGAAATTTCACATTTTCTTCTGTTAAATCTGAAATGTGAACTGATGGTTGATTTGCGTATGGCATTTTGTTCAATTTTTTATATTAAAATCAATATAAAATATAATTTATAGTTAATATGTTCTTTTTTTCTACAACTTTTAAATGATGTGTTACTGCGCTATAGATACTGTGTCAATTAGGAATGTAGCGCCATCGCGAAAGATACATATATATATATAATATATATATACATATATATATATATATATATATATATATATATATAATTTACAAATATATTGAGTTTCAAAAACCGCAATAGAACATAAACTTATGTAAGATGTAATGTATTTTTTATTTTAAAAAATTTATTATACATTTTTTGTCACATAATATGAAAAGTAGACAAAACTGCATTAAAGGTTATATCTGGATACTAAACAACATAATTATTTATTTATACATATATAAATACTGAGCAATAATCAATAAAATTTAATATTTTAAATTACTATTTTCCTAAATTCCTACTTCGCTTTCACTTATTTTTATAATTCTGCAAAAGAAAATGATATCAATGCATGTACATAATCGACTGTTTATATAATAAATCATAAAATTAAGATTTTGGTAACTCTTATAAACGATACTAAATCTTATAACATAACATTACTGTGCTAACATTTGTATAAGATGATGCCAGTTTTTTATGGCACTAAACTTTTGTAAAAATTGGAAGACTGTGGCTTGTGAGACTATTTGTTGAGTATCTTAATCAAGTTTGTGCAATTGTAAATGTTTGTAGATGTTGTATCAGTGTTAATATAAATGTATTCTAAATGCAGCATAAATAGGAATACCAAACATATAAGAGCTGAAATCATGGCATTAAAAATTATTAAAAATATTTTCAGCCATGTAAGTTGTTGATAACTATTATGAAAAGAAGTAAAAATTTTACTAATCCATTTAGTAATGAATTTTCAAAGTTCATCAGTGAAACGTTCAATTTCTTGTAAATGATCTCCATAGTCTGTAGCTTCACTACCAACAAAAGTATCGTGATGGTCTAAAATTTCATCAAACGATAATCTATTATCGTGATCGTCATCGGATGCGGCAAATAAATGATCAACTTCGTCGCTTGCAATTTCCCTGAAATATTTGATAATGTGAAATATGTTTTGAAGAAATATTTCAGTCATCAAGAAATATTTTATATAATTATTTACTTACTCATTACTAGGTACCAGCCAAGAAAGTATTTCATCAGAATCTAATCTTCCATCTCCATTTTTATCATGTTCATAATCAAATTTATCTTTTTCTATTAATAACCATTCTTTATCTTCAGCTTTAGCTCTATTTCCAATAAATTCTTGGAAACTAATATATCCATCTTTATCTGTATCCTTGTCATCTAGAGCTTGCTTCAATAGAAGTGGGAACATTCTTGGTGTTTCTTCAGGATGTGAATAAGCTTTGAATTCTTCTGCATTTAGATACCCATCTTTGTCTATATCAGCAGCTTCAAAAGTTTCCCTATCATCAGTGATAACTTTGTCATCCACTGCTAAGTCTTCTGGATCTGTGCCATATGTATCTTGAAGGAGTTCGTTCCAATTGACTTTACCATCTTCATCTGTATCAGCATCTTCCAATCGGTCTTGAGATTCTTCAGCAGAAAGCATGCTAAAAGAACGTAGAATCCAAGCTTTTAGTTCATTTCTCTCAATAAATTTGTCATTGTTTAAATCCATCTTTGTCAATAAAATTGCTAGACGTCGTTTTGATTCCTTAGTTGGAAGTTTGTCAAACTCTTCTGCCTTCTTTATGCTCCCTATGAAAAATGAAAAAGAAATGAAAAGTTCTTAACGCAATGTAAAATAAGAATTACCTAGAATAGCTTCATGATCGAATTCTTGATGATGTTCCCCCCCAGCATAGTGGTCCATGTCTCGCGGACTAAATGCACCATCCTCTGTTCTTTCATTGCTACTTTGTTTATTGTGCTGATGAGAATGTATATGCGCGGATGCTGCATTTCCGAATGAAAACGATCCAAGAATCGTGAAGACAAAAAGGAGAAGAATTCCTACATGCATCTGGCGTGTATCCATTGTAGATTTTGAGAAAATTCTGGAATTCAGAATAAAAAGAGATAACCTCACTACATGAGGAATTTGACAGGTGCACTGTTATCTACACAGATTGTCACAACGACTTCTATCGATTGTTCGTCGTTACGCATGTCGTATAATCGTTCTCGAAAATCGATAAGATTCAAATTCGACCGTTTTCGAGAGATTCCTCCATTAATAATACAGTATGCCACGGATTGAAGTACAAAGTGCTTGTGTATAAAATTATCTTTATAATTGACGTAAATTCGTGTTTGAATCATGTTTATACAAGTGTCGTGATCGAAGAAGCTTGTTCGATGAAATGTGAAATCGATGGTAGGAAAATGATAATCTTGGTGAATAATCAACAAGATATTCATGCAAACGATTCAATATATTCAAGAATGATTTTATATAAAGAAAAAATATGAGCTTCTAGTCTGGAATTCGTATTGTAGATTAAATAACTTTACTTACATCTTAAGAAATTTTTTTTCAAAGTTGAATATTCATTGCCACGTGTCTTACTTTGGAGAATTCTTAGTTTCCTCTTTGAGTCTACGATTTTGTTAGTGAGATGAAACTTTCCTTTCGGTCTGGATGTCAGTAATACATGTGCCTCTTAGAATTTCAGTGCTTGGCTGTGAAAAGAGACGAAGAAAAAGAGCGTTAGGTCTGCCTTAGCCACGATCAGTATGTGCGGTCATGATTTTGTTCTAGGGTGAGCGTTCAAAAATAGACGTACTAACACGCGTTCAATTTATTTCTAACTTCAGTGATCATCAAGCAAATGACACAGAAAGGAGAGAAAGAGAGACTGATGACTAGAGGATAAATTATCGCAAAAGCGTTATTTCCTGACCTGTGATAATGATTCGATAAATTACGTAAATGTAAGACGGAAGTACGCTCTCTAAAAATATCTATCTAGAAATATTTTTAGCTTGAATGTGTATAATTCAATTTTAATTTTTTCTTTCACAAATTAAAAGCTTTCTAAATATAAAGGTTCAAGATATTTGTCCAAATCTCGAACAGTTATCTCTCAAACATGCAAAATAGCATAAGTAGTGTTAAGTAGTATTCTTCTGCAACTATTTGTCCTTCGAAACCAATTTTAATACTAAGCAGAATATTGATTTTATTGCTATAAAAAGATAATTTTATCGAAGGCCGTCTGAAAATGGCCGTCAGCTTCTTCGAATATTTGAAAATCGTCTGCAAAGTTATTACACAGATATATATGAATAGATCTTTCATTTCGGGGTTCTAGGAACCCCTTACCATTTTTGTGTCACATTCTGTTGTATCGATTTAGACAGGTTTTGCACTGCAGCACTACTAGTGATAAGAATTGAAATGATGTAAAAATAAATATCTTTGAACGAATTAAACTCAAGATTGTTAAAGTAGAGACTTTACTCTTTAAAATAAAATCAAGTTAATTGTTTTACAATTATTTTTTCACGAAATTACAACAGTTTAAAATATTTTTCATTAAGTGAGTGAATATTTTCGTTTTTTTAAAAGAATTCTTAGTTTCCTCTTTGAGTCTACATTTTCATAAATTTTGTGTATTTGACTTAGACCATGAAAGTTTTTTATTCTAAGTTAATATTTCGTGTGAAATATTGGGTTTAAAATAATTGAAGATTACAGCGCCACTACACGGTGAAATAGGCAATACACTTCCTACGATTCTCGAACGTAATCGATATTTCTCATTATCGATGTTTAAGCGCGAGAGCAGATCCCTAATGGTGGAAAAAAGCACACCTCATCTGTAAAAGTGTCATCAGAAAAATCATCCAGAAAGAAGTGTCATTCAAAAGTTCTCAGGTAAAAATATAAATCATAATAGCTGTTAGATTAGTGTTTGTGTTGCGAATTTTTAAGATAAAATGTGCATTTTTGGCTTCAACTCAAGATAAGATTTAACCAAATAATTATTACATATAATTTTCAACAATTATAGCAATAATCGCTTTAAACAGAACATACTATGCTGAAAGTTATTTATAATTTTATACCAAGATTTAATTTCAATTCTGACCAGTACAAATATTGTAATCTTGTAATTGACAACTCATTATATATATGTATGTATTTTATTCTATGCTTTTGTATTTTATTATATGCTTTTATACATACACTTTTATTATAACATTTTCTTCTTATTTGTTGATTCTTTAACTTCATACTGCGTAATTCTTAACACTTCTAATATTAATTTCAACAACAGTTTATTAAGAATGTACGTATTTAATAGTTAAAATAATAATTTTACTACGTAATATAATGAAATTGTACAGTTCTCAAACAAAGTAAAACGTAGAAGGCCTTGCAGCTCGAAATTCGAAGTAAAAAACAACAACACAAACACAATGTTTATGTTCGTTTTAAACATCGTGTCTGTTTGGACAGGATTATCCCATCCCCTACTACTTTCTCAATTGAAGGACGAGACGTGTCGCAGGGAGTCACTCGGCTGTGGAATTTCGTGACAACAACACGTATTACGTCGCATTAGGTTCGTAACTTTTTCTAATCTATCGATGCCGTTCCTTCGATGGCATCATTTCTTCGAGACTCTTTTAGTAATATCATTTAATTAATACGCATGTGTCTAACAATTAATTGAGCATTACGACAACGAAATCGTGTAATACCGTTTTGAGAATCTATGGTAAGAGTGGTCGAGTTAAATGCTGTAGGTCGTATCTATGGAACTTTTCTGGACTGCAGTTCCAAACTTAACTGTTTGGGACTCTTCCCAGCGCGTTGAAATCGGCCCTTATATAAACCGACTTTTTTAAGTGTTCTTCTCGATCACATGATCGGGAAGATAAGGTGTTTTATGGTTGTTGATAGGATCAGACCCATAAAGTAATTTTGACAATTACTTTATGGGCCTAACAATACTGCGTCCCGAGTATGCGCCCCTTACATTATATTTACTATTCCTGGCCATTAGGACCAAGGACAGAGGAACGTATTACTTGAAACTTTTTGCACCAATTTTTCTTCAATCGTCGATTTCACTCTTACGGTTATTGGCTTGTCTTATATACTTTTTTAATAG